TGTGTGTGTGTGTGTGTGTGTGTGTGTGTGTGTGTGTGTGTGTGTGCGTGCGTGTGTTTGTGTTTGTGTTTGTGTGTGTGTGTGTGTGTGTGTGTGTGTGTGTGTGTGCGTGCGTGCGTGTGTGTGTGTGTTTGTAGGTGTCCCCTCTGGCTTTGTAGCTTGTTTTGACAAGTTCTTTTTTAAATGTGAGTGCTTATGTGCATCTACCTGTATGTGGATACATCTCTATGTGAGTGTGAGAGTGTCCACGTCCAGTATTTCCTGGATCAATGTGTGAGAGTTTGTGCTTCTGTCTTCTCTACCGGTTTGGCACACACTTACAAAGAGCTGCCTGGCTTTAATCCCATTACTTTCATTCGCTGCACCTTTTTAACCGCTGCCGTTGAAAGCCGACTCAGGTGGATCAACCTACACAGTTTTGGATGCCAAAGATCGGAATTCCTGCAGAGGAGGCTCAAATATAGCGATTTGCTGCAAGCATTTCTCAAAGTATCTGTCACACATGATGATATTTCCAAGGCAACGTGATGTTGTATCAACAGTTCCCACATGTTCTTCACTTTGCATGGCAGATTAGGTCAGAAGTGTCACTGCGTACTTTGTGTAACGAAAATAATCTGGTGACTGAACACAATTTAAAAGATAAATAGAGGTGGCTGCTGAACTTTAGCCAAGCAGAACTGAAATATTCTGTTTATCTAAAATAAACATTGAATTTACCTGTTCAATCGTGAATTGCAGGTTACAAGGTTAAACACTCATCTTTATCTATCTACAATTCTATTTCTTTTCCAAACACCTGTGGTATATCTCCGCCTGACTCTTGCATTTTTTTTAAATGTATTTTATGCGTTGAAGGAAAGCCCAAAAGATAAGGTGCAGCATGTGTTTGAACTTTGTGATCAGACGGTGGAAGAGCAAAGCTGAGACTGAGAGATGTTGTGAGTTTTCACTGCAGTAGGTAGAACCTCGGGACCCCTCTAGCTATCCCACCATTTTCCAGTCTGAGTAGCATGCTTGACTGAAGCCCGCTGTTTGAATGGCTTGCGTGTTCATGTGTATAGGAGCTTGTGTGTATCCCATTAGACTTTTGACTGACCTATTTCAGACAACTGTCCATTTAGCTCGTTTTTTTCTAGGCCGATATCCTGGACCTTTGTGGTTTGGGGAGGAGAGAGGAGAGCAGCCCACAAGGTCTGTGCGAGGAGTCGGGCTCGTCCCTTATCTTCGGTGAAATTAGGCCAGCTTTTGTTCCAGATGGGTTTGCCATGTGATGGTTCAGCCTTGTTTTTGTCAAGGACCCAGTACTGTGCAGCGTGTAACTCATCCTTTGCGACGTGCGGCCCATTTCCAAACAGCAGAGAGCTTCGCCCGTATCAAATGCATGTCTTACATGAGCGTCCCTCTTTCTGTGTGGACATTTAAAGTCCAGCCCCCCGTAATGTAAGAAAAGGAGATGAGGTCTGCTGTGAGACGTGAAAACATTGCCTGCTCAGTGGAGACAGTTTCTCCCTGCAGGGATACCGGGGAGCTTTCAGAAACGAACGCTGGTGCCTCACCTTCCTGCGGTTCCTGCTCTCAACCTGCTGCTGTTTGAAAGATTCAGCTGCCAAGTGAGAGAATCCCGATGCTCTCTCGGTGTCGGTGTTGTCAATCCGCGCCTGGCAACAAAAGGCACAGCGGTGTGCCAGAGAAAGAGCAACAGGGCTCTTTGTTTTCAATTCGTCTGGCTTTTGTTTTGTCTGCTTTTTTTTTTTTTTTTTTGCTTACGTTTGATGTCGCGTGGTCGGTAGTCGGTGGCCACTCGCTGAGGCACCTGGAGCCTGCCAGTGGTCGGTCTGTTATCCAGCTGGGTTCCCTGTCATCTGGGGTCATGCCACCCTGGTGATGGTGACACACCCTGCTGGAGTGTGCACTGCCAGGCAGGTCACATGAGGCCAGAAACACATAGTTGGACAGGGTGGATTTTAGCGTGGGTCACGACCGTTGTTGATCCTAGTAATCCCTCGTGGCAGCAGTTATCATGTGGTGGAATTATCTAAACACTTCAAAAAGGCGCGCTGTCAAAGCACATCGACAACTATACAAATTGAAATTTCCACGGTGTGTCACGGTGGACGCTGGTTTTGAGGCCCTTCTCGCTTCCCAGGCCACTAAATGCTTAGCGAAGCATGACTTTTCTTTTATGAAATTCCGTTTCCTCTGTGCTGTAGGTCAGTTCCTTACTGATTTATTTACATCAAACCTCAGTCCGTAAGGCGGAGAAGGATTCTTATGAGGTATGAGGGGTTTATTGGTGGAGCCTCTGGCCAAACTAGTAGGTTCAAAGAGGTAAAACTCCAGCAGCATTTGCAGTGTATGGAACAACTTTATTGTATTTCGACTTGTGGTCTTCATCAGGGTCATTGTGCTGGAAATAACTACTCTGATTCTACAAACCAGTAGGTTCACAAGATAAAAAAAATAGCGTTAGTTAGTTAGTTGGTTATACAGAAGTTCAGAAGTTCAGATGTCCTTTCCTGAAGGCCGAGAGAAAAATCTGGTTTCTTGAGGTCAGTCCCTCTAAAATGAGCTCCGTTTTACTCACTTGTGATATCCATTCATATTACTGATTGACTAAATAGCAAAGGATTTGCTGTTGAGATTTTGAAGAAAATCCTGTTTTTCAAAACAGGTTTTTGTAAAACATTTTTAAAGCTGTGGTTACAAATTTCAAGCATAACTGTACTGTGTGTTTAACTGTTGTGACATCTGCAGATGTCAAAATGATTGTTAACTTGACCGTTGACAATGTGATAGTTCCTGTTTTTCTGTTTCTTTTGGTGTGGCTCCTTTAGGCTGTCGAGCATTTGCTTCACAGTGTGCCTCGGTTGAATTTCATTGACGTGGAGAGGAACTGTACAGGTTAAGGCCTCGAGCGTTTGCCGAGACAAAGACGCTTTGATCTGCATGACCGGCGCTCATCTCTGAACAGCATACTGTATAACCAAGAAAAACTTGTTGTTCCACTGTCTCTTGCTGCAGAAAAGAGACTTGCAGCAGCTGCGAGGCTTTCCATTAATGGGACAATGCCCTTTTAGAAACACATTTAAACTCCGACGTCTTCCACCTTTCAGCTTGCAGGAATCAAGTTTGATTTTGTGAGGAATCTGACTCGCTGGTACCGATGACAAGTATGAACAATAACTATGTAGAAATAGCTGATGGTCTTGTTTACATATGTAGGTCATATAGAGTCTTCATGATTACATTGTTTCATAACCAGTTCAAAAAGTTCAACACAGTAACTTATGCAGGACTTTTTCATAATGAAGATAGGACCTGTTAACAGGATGGACTAATAAACATTTTCCTTAAGTAATATATTTTCTATAAATAATGTTCTATCAATAAAGTAATTATCATTATTTTGGCGTACAATACCTGCTGTGTTGGGTATTAAGTCTCATTATATGGAAATAAATTCCCGTAAGCTACTTTATGGTATTTTATGATCTTTCTTTGTTATAAAACCATCAATGTGTTAGCACCTGAACTTTTAAGATACTTGATGACTTGAATTCCTCACTTAAAGTAGGCTATACTTTAACAATTCAGGGAACATCTGATTAACCTTGTCTGTCACCGTGCAACAATAGTCTTAATACCGGAGGCACCACATCCATCTTGCAAGCTAACCAGCCACACCTTGAAGACATTAGAACAAAGTAGTTATGTGTTTGGCCCAAGGTTTTATTGCGGAACGCTGACGAAAATATGCTGTGATGAGATATTGCCTTCATTAAGAGTGATTTATGAAGCCGCTAAATGGCACTTTGAAGTTGTGAGACACTTGAGAAGGCCGCCAGCTTGAATGAATCTGACCAGATATCCATGTCCAAGTTGCTTGTGCTCAATGTTTTTGGATGAAACTGAGCAGTCAATGGGTCTACAGGTCTTTTTTTTTTATTTCACTCTGGCTCAATTGCTGTAAATGTCCATCTTTTTTTTTTATTTCACTCTGGCTCAATTGCTGTAAATGTCCATCTTTTTTGCTCAAGCACAAGCTGTTAAATTTACAGTTTTATGAAGTAAAAAAAAACACCACCCCTTCTTTGCAGTGTGCAGATTCTTGCTGGGTCAAAGTATGAACACTTGAAACAGAAACAGTGAAACATATCAGGTAGCAGAGCTGTGAAATAGGGCTGCGATTAAGGATTATTTCCTTTATTGGTTGGATTATTTCTCTGGATGGATCGTCAGTTGGTTGGTAGTGACTAAGGTGATCCCCTGATTTTCAGCGCCACCATGAAGTTTACATTTTGGATTTCTAGTTAAATGCTTCCAGAACTATTTATCTGATTTGGTACAAACATCATTTATGGTCCCCAGAGGATGAATCCCAATGTGATCCCCTGAGTTTTCTTCTACCTGCTGATCAAAGTTATCACTTATCCAGTGAAATTCCTCCACATCTACTGGATGTATGGAAGTTCACAGACACAAAATTTATTTCCAGAGTAAGATGCAATTTTCTGCAATAAGTCAAGACCGTATTAGGCGAGTCCGGATCAGTTCCAGGGAAATGCAAAGTGGATTTG